TCACCACCTGAGCCTCTTGGTGGTGAATTGATGTATGACAAGCTAGATGTTGTGAGGGCCTTTTTGGGAGTGAGTGAACAGTGTGTAGTTATAAATAGATCGTTAGGATCTGAGGAGAGTTAACAGGGGATCTGGCCGATGTTCAACACTCATGGGAAGGGCGAGACAGATGTACAATCAAACTGCTTCTGGTACCATCAGAACTAATTTGTTACTGTCTGCTTAAGAAGGGACATAGTGCTTATGGAACAGTTGTGCTATGATGTTAGTTATAAACTGAACTCAAGTCAGTTGCCCGTGGGAGGTGGTAAGGCACTTGATGATGATGATGTTGCTTTCTGAATGCAGTTAATGTTATCAGTCTGAGATATACCTTTTTTTCCCCCAATAGATACCGAACTGATAAAGTTGAGGTCACATGGAGGAAATGATGACTGCGTGACAAGCTGATGTAAATGAAAGACAACACTGTAACAGTTGGTGCTGAATCTGCAGAAACCTCAGTTTCTTGTGAGGGTTGTTTATCACAGGGAGATCTAACGACTCTCGGTATGAGTGAGTGCATTTGACCAGGTCTGGTTGATGAATTCAGATGTTTGTGTTCAGGCTGGGCTGAGGGCCCGCTACTTGGTGACAGACAAGGACAGATTCACATAATTCATGAATATAGTATAGATGTCAACCATGCACCATATGAACCACTGAAATATCACAGACACTGAAAAGTACTGTATACGAAGCAAACAGAAAGGCCCGTTCCAGAGATCTCTTCCTGCCCTGATGCTGGAAAGCATTCAAGAAGAAGTGTAGCAAATAAAAATAAATGAAACAGATGTTTGTTGGCTTTTCATTTGTTACAGAATTTGTAGACTTGTTTAGATTCTCCTTGTGGGATTTCTGAGAAGAAACTCAAGCACTTCCAGAACTTTGTTGTCATCTTTCCAGATGTTAGTGTTGTTACTGTGCTGTAGGGAGGAAGGAGAATCACACCCCATAGCGATTGACCAGTGTGACTTGGCAATACCCACTGGTTTTAAGGACATTTTCCACAGTTACAGCATAGGATTAACATGATCCTTTGAAACAGCTGAGAATGAAGACATTTACACATCTCTTGATGAATGAGGCAGAAGCTGGTTTTTCTTTTCTTGTTCCTTTCGTCCTGAAAATGGCACTTAGTGAAGTAAGAGTGAATGACTTGTTTCCACACCAGTGCCTTCACATACCTTCGCTCATTTTGTTTTTATTTTAGACCACTTGACACTCAATGGCGTTGTGATCACTGTGTTCTTTGGCATGAAATTATCTTATAATTTCAGTTTTCAATTTGGAAAAACCAGAATAGCTATATGAGATTAGAGGTCAGGATCGCTTCTCGACCTTTTGGCTAAGATCAAAGTGTGGCTCTGCTGCACTTGGTCTGGCCAGAAGGGCTGGGATCGGTTCCAAACACATGGGTGTCACCAAAATGGCAAGATCCATCTCAAAAAGAAAACTCTGCTGGGTGGTTTTCCCATGGGGAGACCGACCCAGGCATGCAAAAAAAAAAAAATAATAGGTATATCATCTGACTCGATACAGGTTTGAACCAAGATCTTAGGGTATTCCTGAACGTCTGGCCGCTCTGCTACCGTGGCGGCTCCTACTAGATCTAAGGCCCTCGCACAACTCACACCAAACCTTATGTAAACTTGTCCCCATCTCTGTGGGTTCTGCACCTAGGGCTCTGTGTAGGAAGTCAGTCTCATGCCAAGTTCTCTTAGTCCATGCAAGATTACATTGTTGAATCAGGGGGAGTAACCATGGTACCAAATGAAATCACCCTCTATCAGGGCTGTTTAGCTGGCCGTCCGTGGACCAAATATGGCTGCGGAGGCCTAGCAGATGGCCCACAGATCATTTCCAGTTATATTGTATTAATGATCTTTCTATGTTTGGCCTCGGACCTCTGGCCCATGACAGTCCAGATTTGGAAAATTGTGGCCCTTTAGTAAATTTATTTGAAAAGCCCTGCCCTATGAGGTCAACCGTGGGCTCCTGCTCAGAAAGCCACAATGGATATAGACTAGAAGCACCCCATCTGCAATGAAGAAGCACCATTAGTACTCAACAAAAATCTGGCAACTTTCCGGTAATGAAATCGTACTGCTGCTCTGCAGGCAAGCCCACTAACCACAGTAGTGCATTAATTTATTTTCAATACTCTTTGCCAACATGGACAGGCATCCCAGAATACTGTACATCAGCTGCACACATACCTTCTACATGCAGTAGAGCAGGGCTATTCACCTGGTGGGCCGCAAGTGATCAGCAGATCGCATGTTAGTTATACTGTATTAATGATCTTTCTGTGCTGGAGCTCGGTCCTCCGACCCACAACGATACATTATTTTCAACATTTTATAATATATCTAACATTTTTAATATCAGTGTTTTCAGTGTGATTATCCTTGTATCAAATTATCCTCAAGTATTTAGTAAAATAAATTAATTTATTATAACACTGTCAACATGCCGGCTAATTTATCTTTGAAGTGTCAGTGTTGCCTATTATGTATCCCTGAATGATTAGTAAAGAGAAACCTTCAGACGAAACTGCAGCTCTCCGGTGGCTAGAGAATAAGATGCATACACATGTGGTAATTGTAACAGACTGAAGGCATGCTGAGAAAGGTGCAGACAGGGATGCTTCGAGCAGAGTGGCAAGCCTCACTTGGAAGGTCACCAGTATTGAGCATACTTTGGATCTTTTCTCCAGGCTATGCCAGTGTAGTGGGTAATAAACAGACAGACAGATTGGCTGGATCTGCACCACTGGGTGGTGAATTGATACCTGACAAGGCAGATGTAGTCAAAGCTCTTTGGAAACAAGAAACGGAATCAGTAGAGAAACAAGATTATTATGGCCTGGAGAGAATGAGGCACCTGGGTGTAACCAGAGGGTCTGGTTGGCTCACTACACTCAGAGGAAAGGCGAGACAAACATATGACCAGATTATGACCGGTACCATCGGTATTGGAACTCTGCGCTGGCTGCTGAAGATGAGGATGAAGCACACATGGAAATGCCCCGAGTGCTGTGATGTCTCTTGACTCAACTCAACTCAAACCTTCAGACGAATGTTGATGAGAGAGGCTAAAGGTACTGGACTGGATTCCATCCATAATATTAAAACAAAAGCACAGAATAGCAGGGAATGGAAGAATAAACTGAGCCCTATGTGGCATGTAACGGCACAACAGGAAGATGTTGATGTGTGAATAGAATAGAGAATTGCTGTTTATTACACTGTCAACTTAGTCAGTTAATCTTGCAATTATCGATGTTGGTAGTGAATTATCATTAAGTAATAGTGTGGGAAAAATCATATATCATTAATTTATCGATATCAATAAATGTATCATTAATCTGTATATCAGTTAGTGAACCATACTTAGGCAGCATACCAGTAAATGTCTAGTTTTCTTTTTTATAGCTGAAACCAAAATAGTGTAGCCAACGAATCCTTCATAATGATATTAGAACAGTCAACTTTCAAATCCAAAACAATATTTTCCTCTGGTAAATTTCCATAATAAAAAACAATATAGAGTGTACCTCGGGTCAGAAACTTAATTCATTTATTGACTCCATTTGCAAACCAAAACATTTTTTCCCATTAAAATTACTGCATATCCAATTAATCGTTTTGCCCGCCCCAGAAACATTATTATTATTTGTAACTTTCAATGGTGTAACTTTACTTTTGTGGTTGATAGTTGCTGGCACTGGTAGATGGCAGAGGAAGAGGAGGTAGACTGCTCGTTTGAAGGAGAGTCCCATTCAACTATTACGCGGGGAAACTGCATGGATTTCTACTGTCTTTTTTCCTGAATAGTGGTTCGGTGGTTGGTATTTTCACAACATAACAATCCAAAGATACTATTCTTTGTTGGATAATTTTTAAAAAAAATAGGAAACTACGTCATTTCTATTTAAAATATCCACTGCTCAGCTAGCCATAGTTTTGTTAGGTTGATGCTTCTCGGTAGAAACCTGCACTTCACTTTGATCTCAGCACTTGAAACATGTACCACCTCTTCGTCCTCCTCTCCTGAGTTCTCCTCCTGCTTAACTTTAATTTGTTCACTTTGGATCTCATCGCGTTTATCTGTGTTGATTCTAGTCTATGGTCCTTTGTGCCTTCGAGGCATTTTTTGTGAGCTGAGTCAAAATGTGTTCAAAAATTGTGTTCATATGCCGATTTGTTCACAAGTAGAAACATTTGTGACCCGAGGTACCATTGTGCAGCACAGTTTATTGACACTTATTTCATTGTATCTCGCCAGATGCATTACTAAACAATTCACAACAGCATACCAGTGTGATGAATCATAAGATATGAATCTTTTACAAGGAAATACACAGATCACATGCTTCTTATTGCACTCTAGAGATGGATGTCTAGAACAAGATGACAGGCATTCCGGCATCATGTTATGTAAACAAAATGATTACATAATCAGTCTAAGACTTTCATCGTGAGATGCACATTGCAACAAGAGATCGTGTGATTTGTGTATTTCAGTTAAAAGGATTCACCGTCATTTTGAGGTTCATTATCTAAGTTGATATACATTCTTTAAAACGTACCTGATGGGAAGTGAGAGTAAAGGACCTTTTGGGCATCTACTTCTAGAATCATATCTGTTTATGTCAGCCGGCACTCGATGAGTGATGTGGTCAACATCGCCCTGTTCGCCTTTACTTCCAAGGATATTTCCTGTTACCCATTCTAGGTTGAGGCGACCTGGGAATCAAGACGATAATTTAATTCTAAAAGAGCCTGATGTGGACTGGAACCCAAGACGCTTTGGGCCAGTAGGTGAATATTCAGCCACAGCAGCTCACAGTGAACCGGCAAGATACAGCGAAATAGGTCAGGCAATAAATTGTGCAATATTTTGTTAATGACTTCTTTATTTAAACTAATTTATGAACATTCTGCCAGTGTGGCAAGTTAATTTATCATCTGGTTATTGATGTCCTGATTCCATGTCTTCTCTTTCCTGGCCTTCTGACCCTTGTTAACTTTGTTCTTTTTCTTGTCTATCACATTGGTGTGTTTGACGTTGGCCTTGATATCCTGTTGAAAACATTCGCAGTTAGTAAGTGCTACAAATAAAATAGGTACAGGTAAAATAAAGGACCGCATTCAAGCCTTCGCATCGAACTTATGGCAGGTAAAGTAAAAGACTCCCTTTAAGCCAGGGGTGTATAGGCGCTATAAACCTACTATAATACGTCCCAGAAGTAGTGCCCAACGTTGAAAATATGTAACGATGTTACAGAGTAATGTCCCTACTGCCGAGGAACGGGTGCAGGAAACTTATAATCCTACGACATGCTTGATGAGAAAGAAATCGTACGGGACGGACAGACAGACAATATTTCATCGGTAAAAGGGGCTTTTACATGTGTAGCTCAGGACCCAGAGTGTAGTGCGCCAGCGAGTATTTTATGGATAAGCGAGATTTTATTAGAGGACGGGACGCACACAAAACGTAGGTACTTGTGGTTGTTAAGGTCATTGTTTCTAAGGGTGGTAGACTTAATCTTGGGCTTGAAAAATAAATGGACGTTTTATTGATTTTATTGATATTCACGGGTTAAGTAAGTACGGTAAAGTGCTGGAAATGGATGGCCTTTGTATTGTTATGTAGTATAGGGAGATCCAACCGTTTCAGCACCAACACTGCACATTCATGGTCTTAGACATAGTCGATAAACATCAACCTGGTCGACTATCCAGGCAGGACACTGCCACACAAGTAACCCTTCGATGTAGGTTGTTGAAATTTTACATGCACCCTGTTATTAATCGTGTCATTGAAAGATTAAAATTTTTTTTAAAAACAGATATCTAGTTTCCATTTTAACTTATTTGCGGTTTTTAAAAAGCAACAACAAAACAACAGGCATAGATTCAGAGCAAACAATCAGCATGTTTACAGCTAATTGAATAAGGGGAACTTTTCTTGAAAGCATTAACTTGCACATATTTCATAGGCTTTTTTTTTTTCAGGTGGTAATCTGCAGCATTAGCCTCCAGTTAGTCTAAACTTTTGGCTATCTTCCGAAAAACGGTCCCAAATTATCGAGGCCGAAAATATACCCTAACAGGACCTCAGTCACATGTAAATTGCAAACTTCCGGCGACTACCGCCACCGCGGAGAGTATCTCCCACACCGCTACGTGATTGGGGCTAAACTAGATGGCTGGGACTTTCGAGCAGCAGCTACTGCATCTCCTGCAGCTGTTATCATTTTATTTGCTCGGGAGTCCCAGTCATCTAGTTTAACTCCAAGCCGCGGCGTGGGAGATACTCTCAGGGGGTGGCGGAGGTCCGCAATTTACATGCGACTGAGGCACTGTAAGGGTATATTTTCGGCGTCGATAATTTGGGACCGTTATTCGGAAGATAGCCAAACTTTTAATTGTATGCACGATAGGCTGTCAAAACAATCACAACAAATCGCTGCACATGTGTACTAATTTCCTAACAATCTTCATGCTCGTATCAATGACTGTGTGTGTATATATAAAAATAGGGAGTCGCTGTGTGCGGAGCAGCTAGACGCTCGCCGTGGATCGGAAGGTCGTGGGTTCGCTCCCTGGCGTGGCCAGTCTTTCTTTTTCTCTTTCAAAAATTACCTTGGCTCCCGCGTCGACCCAGCCTTGAGTGGGTACCGGGTGCAGTCCTGAAAAGTAAAGGTGGCCGGTGTGATGCTGACCACAACATCCATTTTGTGCTGATTGGTCTATAAAGTATAGGTCTAACCCTGTATGCCTAAAGGCGTGGAAAAGGGTCCTTTACTCTCTCTCTCTATATATATATATACACACACACACACATATATATATATATATATATATATATATATATATATATATATATATATATATATATATATATATAGCAACTCCTCTCTTGTAAGTTACAGTCACAAGAACATGGAAAATCTAAGACCACATGCAAACATTCGTGTTGGCACGACTTTTGAAACGCACCATAGCTTCGTGTGTTTTAGACAGATCGGTCCTGTGTAGATAATGTGGTCAGAATCACATCATTGGCAATTTCTTCCGGTGACATTATCTAGGACACATTTTAGACTGACTTGACCGGTGAACCAGGATCATTTTCGAAGAAAAAAAAAATTCGGATTCAAACCTGAGACATGGCGGAGAGACCACGCATTCCGTCGCAGATTAGCGATAGTGTTCTTCCGATTAAACTCAGCGCCTAGCGTATCACCCGCGCTGCTACGAGAGGCGCCGATTGGGATCCAAATTAGATGCCTGGGACTCACGAGCAAATAAATTGGAGGAAGTTGCAGGACATGCGGTAGCTGCTGCTCGTGATTCCCAGCCATCTAGTTTATTCCCCCCCCCCCCCCATCCGAAATGGATACTGTCGGATGGGGGATACTGTCGGCGGTGCGGCATAGTCGCAGAAACAGGTCCACAATTAACATATCGCTGAGACCCTGTTAGAGGATTTGTTTCGATATTCTGAGCCGATCCTAGTTTTGCTGCGATTTGTTTCTCGGCAGGAACTCCGCATTTTCCATAGGACTGAGGCCCTGTTTGAGTATTTGTTTGGCCACCATGATATGGGGGGGGGGGGGGGGATCTTTGGAGAGCCGTTATTTGTATACCCTTTACAGACAGTTGCAAACCCACCATTTTTTTTTTTTTTTTTTTTTTTTTTTTTTTTTTTTTACTGTTTATCTTTTTACTAGACATTTTTACGTCCAGTAGTTTGCCATTGATTTTGAACGAACGGTGCAATGCTCATACTGTTACCAGAATCGATGCAGAACGTTCTGCTGCCAAACGTCATGCAGTTGACTTTGAACCCTGGCGTGTGGGAATATTGAAAGCTTCTACATAATTCCTGGGCCACAGACGCAGACCAGTTATGGGACGCCAGTTCGAAAGAAAGAGAGAGAGAGAGAGAGAGAGAGAGAGAGAGAGAGAGAGAGAGAGAGAGAAGTATACCCGCTGTCTCTAAGCATGTGGTAAGAGACAACTAGTTAAATATTTGCTGAAATCGTATGTGTTTGACCGAAGGAGACAGATATCGCAGCCTAGCTATAAACGAGAGCACAACATGCCAACCACCCTTTGAAGGGCGAACACCGACGAACAGGAAGGTTTCAGCGACAACTTACCCCGACACCCTCCCCGGCATTGACCTGAATCACCACATCTCCATCTACAGCTTCCGGTCTCTGGGCGAGAACTCTCAACAGGATGAAGAACTTGCTCTTCACTTCGCTGTCTGCTTTTGGAGGACGGGTCGGGGTGGTTCTAGTCGTGGACTCCTCGTTGTTGAACTGCAAGTACAGGGTTATAAGATAGATAGAGCTTCCGTTAAATAACAAGATAAACAGGTCATTCATGAGCCCCTGGAACTTGTGGCTCGGTCCCTTGTGACATCACCCCCGCCCCAACCTCTTATAATCTTTTGTTTTTGTTTTTGGGAAGGGGGCCGTGGCCCGTTCCTTAAAAATTTTGTATGCTGCATTTGATTGCCCCACCCCCTCCCCTTTTCCCCCTTAAATACAACCGATTCTTCTGTATATCCATCTCCGGTGCTCATTTCGATGTTCTAATTGCCTATTCTGCATATAGGAGTACACATCATCATCATGTAGCAGGTCCTTTGCAGAACGTCGCTCTCATCACAGTCTGCCTGAAAGAAACTCTGTCTCTCGCCAGTTCTTCTGCCTCATTTACTTTCATACTCAAGGAGTCACTTATATCCTGTGCCCATCTTCGTGTCGGTCGGCCCCTGTCCCTCCTTCCTGGTACATAGGAGTACACACAACATCAAAATAAAACTCCGATTGTTAGTAAGTGAAAGTGAAGATCCCTTTTCACGCCTTAGGCGCATCGGGCATACGGGAAGAGCACCCGTATTTTTACAGATCAATCGGCACTATGTGGGTATGTGGTCAGCATTACGCCGGTCGTCTTTACTTCCCCAGGAATACATCCCGGTACCCATTTTAGGATAGGTCGACCTGCGAAGCCCCGTACCATGACACAAATCCACACAGCCAGCGGTGGTTTTCTATCGCAGTACGTTGGAATTACGAGTCGGACTCGCAACGCCTAAGCCACGGACGCCGCTTTCATTGTCAATGTATGGATTATCTCTCTGCATGTCAATAATTTCCCCGTCTTGTTGAAGATATTTTAGTCATTCCAGTTATCTTTAATTAAGTTAAATTTCACTTCTATCATCTGTTATTACGTGCCCAAGATAGGAGAAACTTGTTACTTGTTCTAATATCTCTCCTTTATTGTGATGTTCGCTGTTGGAGCTGTTCCCTCCGTTTTCTGTTCTCTGATGTTCACTGTTGGTGCTGTTCTCTCCGTTTTATTTTCGCTGATATTCACTATTGGAGCTGTTCTCTCCGTTTTCTTTTCGCTGATGTTCACTGTTGGTGCTGTTCCCTCCGTTTTCTGTTCTCTGATGTTCACTATTGGAGCTGTTCTCTCCGTTTTTTTTTCGCTGATGTTCACTATTGGAGCTGTTCTTTCCGTTTTCTTTTCGCTGATGTTCACTGTTGGAGCTGTTCTCTCCGTTTACTTTTCTCTGATGTTCACTGTTGGAGCTGTTTCTCCGTTTTCTTTTCTCTGATGTTCACTGTTGGAGCTGTTTCTCCGTTTTCTTTTCTCTGATGTTCACTATTGTAGCTGTTCTCTCTGTTTATTTTTCTCTGATGTTCACTATTAGAGCTGTTATCTCCGTTTACTTTTCTCTGATGTTCACTATTGTAGCTTTTCTCTCTGTTTACTTTTCTCTGATGTTCACTGTTGGTGCTGTTCTCTCTGTTTACTTTTCTCTGATATTCACTTTTGGAGCTGTTCTCTCTGTTTACTGTTCTCTGATGTTCACTATTGGAGCTGTTCTCTCCGTTTTATTTTCGCTGATGTTCACTATTGGAGCTGTTCTTTCCGTTTTCTTTTCGCTGATGTTCACTGTTGGAGCTGTTCTCTCCGTTTACTTTTCTCTGATGTTCACTGTTGGAGCTGTTCCCTCCGTTTTCTGTTCTCTGATGTTCACTATTGGAGCTGTTCTCTCCGTTTTTTTTTCGCTGATGTTCACTATTGGAGCTGTTCTTTCCGTTTTCTTTTCGCTGATGTTCACTGTTGGAGCTGTTCTCTCCGTTTACTTTTCTCTGATGTTCACTGTTGGAGCTGTTTCTCCGTTTTCTTTTCTCTGATGTTCACTGTTGGAGCTGTTTCTCCGTTTTCTTTTCTCTGATGTTCACTATTGTAGCTGTTCTCTCTGTTTATTTTTCTCTGATGTTCACTATTAGAGCTGTTATCTCCGTTTACTTTTCTCTGATGTTCACTATTGTAGCTTTTCTCTCTGTTTACTTTTCTCTGATGTTCACTGTTGGTGCTGTTCTCTCTGTTTACTTTTCTCTGATATTCACTTTTGGAGCTGTTCTCTCTGTTTACTGTTCTCTGATGTTAACTGTTGGCGGGGTTCTCTCCGTTTACTTTTCTCTGATGTTTGCTGATGACGCTCGTCTCTCCGTTTACTTTTCTATGATTTGAACTGTTCTCCTTTTGACCTATACTATTCTTTTTTTTTTTTTTTCTGGGTTAAAACTAGATTGGAAACCTTATAAGACAGACGGTGAATAGAAGAGGATTGGGGAGGAGAGGAGAAAAAGATAGACGAACGAACTAGCAAATGTTATTGTCAAAGAGTTAAGAACTGGGCACACAGGCCCGTCTAAGATTATGCCCTTCTAGTCTTCCTCGTTTTATTCATCATTTGATTCATACATCAAGCAATAGTAAACATTATTAACAGCAGCAAAGTTCTAAATACAATCACTGGAATGTGCACATTTCTAACCACAGTCAGCCGTAGTAACTGTAATAAATCTAGGGGGGAAATGTGCGCTATTTCAAAAATGTTTTTTTTTTTTTTTTTAATCTTCTATGGCGGCAGGCAATCTACGGGCAGATAATATTTGCACAGTTTCTGATTGTATGTAAAAAGACAAGTGGTATTTTTGTTGCTGTTGTGGAAGATAGATCCACAACTGAGCTACGGAGTACGCCAGACTTGTTTTGTGTAGGTCTATCATGGGTTTAGGGATGTGTAATATGTTTAGGCGTTTGCTATGCCTTTAATTATATTTAGAGAGAGAGAGAGAGAGAAAGAGAGAGAGAGAGAGAGAGAGAGAGAGAGAGAGAGAGAGAGAGAGAGAGGGGGGGGAGGACAGACAGGGAGAAATATAAGAGAGATAGAGCATGGCATTTGTTTACAAAATTTAAGTGAATATATATATATATATATATATATATATATATATATATATATATATATATATATATATATATATATATATATATATATATATATATTTAAGAGTTGAAGTATACCTGACAAAATGAGGACTAGAACATCCACAGCAGACTGTCAGTAGTTAATCCCTAATACATCGCGAAAATTTTAGCTGCTAAAAAAAAATTACCCAGAATTTACCAAATTGACTGACTCTGCTAATTCTCCTCTTCTTCTTCTTCTTCGCGTTCACCAGCTGTACACTCTGGCGGAAAGTTCTGGTTGTTCGTTCACTTCTGGACTACAGTCCTGCTGCAGAACCTGAGTGTTGAGTGTGCATCAGTTTTACAGATCTCATTCACTTGAATGCTGACTGTTTGTTCCTTGCCTCTCAGGCAGATGTACTTAGACTTTAATGAAGGCTCCCAATCAGTCTCTATCAATTGAAACTCGATAGGGTTTGCAGTTTGTAAGGAGCAGATCACCAGCGTATTCTAGGTAGATTAAGACATAATTCGCTGATGTTTATTTACCTCCAACATTGAGACGTGTTCTTCCGTTAGTTTCATCCCAAACAAGGTGGGCATCGCCATATCCTGCAGTGACAGCAACATGGGCAGCTGCCAATTTGGACACACTTTTGAGTTTGATTTGTACAGTCTGACCTGGCACTCCCAAATTTTGGCAAAAAACCTGGATGCGAATTGATAAAAAGTAGACAAGATAAAAAAACACATACTCCCAGCGGAGATGTGGTTTTTGGTAAGAATTCAAAGAATATGATAAAACTTTTTTTTCTATCCTAATCACACGACTGGGGCGAAACAAAAACACTGACCTGACCCATGATTCCAGTGATCATGTAAGGTGGTAAAACATAAAATTATCAACAGGGCAGATGATGATAAAGATAATGATGAAATTAGAAATTTTTTGATATTTGTATAAATTCAGCGTCGGCATCTTTGTCTTAAGTGTTGCGAATGCGCTTCGTAATGCCGGGGTGCCGTGTTCAGTCCCAGCTACGGACGGTTTGTCTAGCGTTGGTTGCGACAGTGGTACCGAAAACCGACCGTTCAGTTGAATTTGCAAACTACTGAACGTAAAATTTGCCTAGAAAATCCAACACGGTAAAAAAAACATGATGGGATATGTTCTGCAACGTCTTATAAAGAATACGCAACCATTTTTTTAAAACAAGCTCAGCTACTTGCATGCTGTCAGCGAGATGAGCATTTGTCATGTATTGGTCTTTTTTAGATATTAGGTTCCAACTGTCATCACCGCTGATTATTTTTATACATGCCATGGACTCACAGGGCGACCAAACCGAAAATTGGCGCCTAAAATATCATGTTTCTAATGACAGCCCACACCCCTCTCGTTTTGTACCTGCCCACATCTTGTACACCTCTATGTTAATTAGTAATTAGATGAATTCGAATCTTGGGCTTTCCTCCAAAGGTAAATAGTCCGTCTTTTGAACTTATGTGCCAAGATGTCGGGTTAAGTACTCAGTTCTATCCTAATTCTCTTAGGAACGACATATATTTAAAATCAGCCCTATAGGTGGGAAATTTACTTATAGTGAAGCCAAAGTCCATTGGCCCAACTACCTCTTTGGACGCGGATGAATTTCCTCCCACCTTGGTCTTAGAAATTCTTGACTGAGCTTCCAGTATGAGCATACTGCTTGCTGCCTTTTCTGTCTATCAGCTTACCTCGGTTTGAATCACCGATTCACCTGGGAACGTCCATGAGCATGGGTAAGTACATTTAGTTAAAGTAATGTGGATAGATAGATGGGTGGTGAACATGGTGTTGTGTTTGGTGATTGCTAACTCTAGTTTCCCTCTTTGTCACAGAATGTTAATATATGGAGGCCAAGTCAACGACCAGTATCCTAACACAATCAAGTGTAACGCAATCCAGCATACAGGGTGAGGGATCCTCAGCGAACAACTCATTCCTGTCCATTCAATAATGTTTGTGGCTCAATGAGACGACAACTGTTTGTTGTTCCGTGATGTTCACTATCAGCTTGTATCTTCAAACCATAAATCTTTTATGTGAGGGGCTGCCAACAACTGCCACGACCAGAGGGTGGCATAAGGTATAACATATAACTAATTGTAACACGGACCCATCTTTTGAGAGATACTATTGAACAGTAAAAACATTTCATAGTGGTTTTGAACAAATATTCAAAGTTCTGCTCTTACAGTACAATACTTACTTGTCGGCCTCGTAATGAAATTTACTGATAGGAACCCCATGCCGACGAATGGTGGTGGCCGCGTTGTCGTAGCAGTTGGACGTGTCGCTGATGTTGAAGCAAGGCGAGTCACTCCTCACAGAGGGCAGGTGTTCAATTATTGCTGGGGATTGATTGTTTGCCTGTTAAGTGTATTTCATCGGCGCTGTGGCAAATTTTGAACTAGTATCGTCATCGTCATCATCATCATCATCCATCATTTTAAACGTCACACACAGCTTAGAGTTTATTCTGACATTCCCTTTATCCTGTGCAATTGTTTTGATAACATGGCGGAACCCAGCCCACCACTCCACGTCCTCATTCCAGTTGTTCCTCATTTGAGCACCTGTTTTGGTGATTCATTACCCGATCCTGCTTGGAATTTGGCCGATAAATTGCCATCTTATTTGCCTTGAAGTCAGCGGTTGTAAAAACATTTATCTGACTTCTTTGGCTTTCTTGAATCCCTCCCATTTATGTCCAAATGTCCTTAGGTGTTTGTTTCAGAATACACGTAAATTTGGCTTCGTCTTTAGTGCTTGTCCAGCTTTCCTGGCATATGTAAAAACTAAACTTTGTTGAATAAAAAAGTGAAAATACATAACTCACAGAACTAACGAACCAGCTTTATTTTTAAAGGATCATACGATGACTACGCAAGCCAACCCTACATTCCGTCCTTTTATTCACGCATTATTCACACAGCAGGTGTATTTTGTGCATAATGCAAGTTAAGTTCGTATTGAAATATACATAATATCAATGTTAGGAACAAAAACAATGGTGTGAAATATACATTCATATAATCACATACCTATACATCATAACGGGCAATGAGGATGATGCCCGCACGATTCTGAAAAGGTTGGACCGCGTTGTCGAATGGTGCGGCATGCAGTTCAAACCACAGAAATCAAGAAGTTTATCAATCCTTAAAGGTAAGGTGGCGGTAGTCAGTTTCACTGTGGCAAAGAAACGGATCCCAACGGTTCTGGAGGAACTGATGAAGAGCCTCGGCCGCGTCTACGAATCAAAGGTATCTGATAGAGCGGAAGTCCGGCTCATGCATGAGTCACTGGCTAAAGGCCTTCTTACGATTGAGTGATGCATGTTAATCGGGAAGTTTAAGGTCTGGTGTCTCCAGTTCGTGTTGATTCCAAAGCTCCTCTTGTCGCTGCTCTAATACGAGGTGACCATGACTGCAGTGGAAACGATGGAGAAAAAAAAAAATCAACACAGCCATGAGGAAATGACTTGGGCACCGCCTTTTCTTACCGATGTGGCTCTGTATTGACAACAGGCTGAGCAGGTACTTCCGTTCAAGTCGATAACCGAGGAGTTTCAAGTCGGCAAGGCAAGACTCGCGATGATGCTACGCGAGTTTTTAAACCCTACTCTGGCAGCTAGCCAGCCCGCTCTACAGACTGGTAAGAAATCAATCCTAGATGCGACAGAATCTGCTCAAGACGCACTGAAATCTAAAGAAGACATTGTACACATAAACCGACCTACGCAGGAAAGTCTGTTGGTGGTCCAAAGTCACGGCCAAAGAGCGCAGAGGCATGGTAATACAGCATATAAAGGGACGCAGAAAACGAGACTCGGGTCCAAAATTATGCGCAGCAGTCGCAACAAGGCTAGTGGATCGGCCCCGAGAGCGCCTTGCTACGAATACTCACATGGGGTGAGATCTGTCGAATGGCCCTGCGGCAGCTGAGCTTTGTCGTAAGATCTGAGTACGATGTGTTACCGTCTGGCGTCAACATGGCGAAATGGCATGCGACTACCGACCCGACATGCCTACTTTGCAGAGCCAAACGCACTGGAGCACGTTTTGTCAGCGTGCAGAAAAGCTCTAGGCCAGGGACGATATATTTGGCGCCACAATAAAGTTCTGAAAGATGTATAGGACATTGTGAACCAAGCCAGGAAGAGGGCCAACGCAAGGGCCTGTCCTACCGTCACCCCCATGAGCGTTCCTTAAGGCTGGGCAGATTTATAAAGGTAAAATCTCCATCCATACTTGACTGTGCGATGGACTTGTAACTGGTTGTCGACCTGTCTGGTTTTGATAGGTACCCAGAGTCAATCCAAATGACTGGCCTAAGGCCAGACATAGTTCTGCACTCTAAGAAGTAACGCAGCTTATCCAGATAGAGCTGACCCTGCAGTACGAGTCTCTGATGGAGGAAAATCACCTGTACAAGCTCGAGAAGTACGGTGAGCTCGTAGCCGGTCTGAGGAGAGACGAAGCGTACCCAGTAAAAGTCTTCGCCGTCAAGGTAAGAGCAAGAGGTCTTATCTCCACTTCCACGTACATGGTGCTAAAGCACCTAGGCTTGCGAGGAAACGAGCGTCAAAGGTCACTAAAATAACTGGACGAAGCTGCTGAAAGAGCTTCGAGCTGGCTCTGGACGCAACGAAACGTCGAAGAGGATAGGCCTCGGTAGACTGGTCTGAGTCCCTAGTAAAAAAGAACGTCTTATCCCTTAAATGCTTATATGTCTGATACATGTCTGCCGGTGTACCACAAACACATATACATACACAGCCACACTCACTTATGGAGAGACAGACCACACACATATATGCATACATACACACCCGCACACATTCACGGAGAGAGGGAGAGAGACACACACATACACGCACGCTTGCACGCATGCATGTGTGTCAGTTTACAAAAAGGTTAGGGTTGTTGTTTTTGTCCTAGACAGAGAAAAAAATTCTACTAGCTTACCAAACATTCAAACCTGAGTCTTCCCCAAGAGAACCCAGCGTCCCAGTCGTCCCCCCCCCCCCCCCCCCACAAAGGTAAACACGTTAGATAAAGTATAACTCACAGTGCTTGAAATGGTCGTCCAGCTCGTAGTGATCGCATGTACCCCCGCTGTTGTCTGCCATCTCAAGGATTTTCTTAATGTTGGTGCATCTGCTCAACTGTCGCCTTAAACACTTGAGAGCTTCCGGTTTCACCACTCTAATGAGAGAAAAAGAAACAAGAGAGGTGTAATTTATGCCTGGCTCTAACGGACAACAGGATGGGGATTTTTTTTTAACGTATCCAGAAACCATGAGTTGTAAACCCTTTGGCTCGGTACTATGGATATCGCAACCCTTCGGCCTTGATTCCATTATAGGTACCGTTAATCTGGGAGAAATGTGGCTTTTCTGCCTACCCCCGGGAGTGAACCCGGACCACAAGGAGTTCGTCACCCGGCCGCCGCGAAAGTCAGGTTTAACCAACTTCGCTAGAGAGCCGGGCTATACAGGATGGGGATATCAGATCGATCGACTTGTATGTCTCCTCCGGGCTCTTATCTAAAATGTACCATACCATCCAGAGATTTAAAATAATCTCAAGCTGGATAACAGACAAACAAGGCAGAGCTTCGCATTATCAAAAACACAAACGTAAAGTGAACGTTGCGGCTAGAAAGTCTTCATCAGCACATGTCATTAATAGACAATGCTACAAATACGAACAGGAATACACGAAATTATTTATTTAATTAACTAAGAGAAGTCCACATGTCTGCCTGACTTGCTGGAGCTCTGAAGCGCGTGTGAACACCGGAAATGAATACTCATTACCTGGTACCCATTTTAGGCTGGTGGATCTTGTAGCCGATTACAACTACACACACACACACACACACACACACACACACACACACACACACACACACACAAGCACATATAAATCTGCCTTGATTCGAATTACCTGCACATGTGTGTGGCGTACTCCTCCACATCCTTGGCCGTGTATTCTGCCTGGGGGACCGACATTTTGGCAGTTTTGTTGACGAACTTGGAGTCCCTCCAACAGTCAGTGTACTCCTTAGCAATCTCGTACCCATCCTCGCAAGGATCTAGATCTATGGAGAAAGGACACAATACAAAATAGTAAATAGTGGGCATAATGTAAAACATAAAAGTAAATGCGACGACAACACTACATATATATAAGGGGTTATGAGTTTGATTATCTTCACAGCACTCAGGACACGTCCATAGGTGCTCAGATTTCCCATTTACCATATTCATCAGCGTCGCTCGGTTAATAGTGCCAATCCTATGCTGAATGACAAGATTTCGTGTGCGTCCAGTGTGCTTCTGGTGTTTGGCTGTGCTGATCTTTACTCCCAATTCTCGTATTCTTAGCAGTGATGTGGACACGTTGCTTCCAAAATTCTCGAAACGTCCTATATCTCTAATGGCATTGACATTGTAACTGCACAATTAGTACAGTTTTGCAATGACTCAGTCCACTGTCTGCGTAACGAGCCTGACTCGACCTACCGGAACATGCTAAAAAAAAAAAATCACTTAGCATACACACGCCGGAATAGTCATGGGATTCTAGTCTTTTCCCTCTCCACATGAAAGCTTGTATCACCACCATTACCTCCATCGTCATCCTGCTGGTAGTTATTGAGAATGCACCGCCAGCTTCTTTGACTGTTCTGCCTGAAGAGCGAGCTGTAAATGCCAATGCGCTCTTATGTCCTCGTTTAACGGACCCGATTGTAAAGATCAGCAAATCTGTCTTATCTGAGTGGTCACTGGGGTCATTATATGAAGCAAGTTGACGAATTAAAAAATCTAAGAAGTATATTCTCATAAGACGTTAGAACATAAAGAAGTAGAAACATTATACCAGTGAACCAGTGCACTTAATTACCAACTGACACCGTTATTAGGACGAGTTAAGCATGGTGATGCACGTCTTTGCCGTCTTCGAGGCCGAGAAAGGAGACAATATAATCAGCTTCTCATGGGGACAATTAGTAGAAGTACTTTAGAGTGGCTGCTGCTTCGGAGAACTGAGCACGCATGGGTATGCCCAATGTGCAGTGACATTAATTGTGATAACAGAACATAAAATAACATCTTAGTAGGGAGTCGGCAGTACGAAACCTAAGTTCAAGGTGTCTCCTACGTGCCAAAGAACTGCATGGCTGTTGGGTGAACAGTCGTTAACGATGGCAGGCAGGTCGTTGTAGGGGCGACGTCTGCTGGTGGATGTAATGTCCTAAGTCCCTTTCCCAGCTAATAATGAGGGAACTGCTGGGGTGACCGTTTATTAACCCTCATATAATTCTTCCGGTCAAAATGGTACGGCCACCATTTTTTTTTAAAGCCATGGCAAATGTTTTTTTTTTTTTTTTTTTAGCCAGACGGTGGTCGTTGCATTTTTGCTCCATTTGTAGACTGGAAGGATATAGTTTCGTCGCCCAGCTCCTGAGTTGAGTGTATGGCGTGACACTGTGAGCTGCGTTTGTTTTTCGTTGGCACAGGAGCGGAGCATATGTGGGTGACCCGTTTGCTATGAAGCTGAAACTAGGATTACCAGATTACCAGATTACCAGGACATCCAAATTCAGCCGGTAGGCCAACGCCAGTTGAATAGTGATTAAGCTGCAATCAGTCAAAATTCTTGAAAACCAGACGTTAATATTAAAGCTGTGCGCTCTCTGTGCTCTCACTGATTATACTTCATACAGAACATATCATGTCTGGGTTAAGACACTATTGGTCTTAGCTCCCGCCTAACGCCCTTTTTTTCTAGTTGCCTGAGAAAAGCCGCCAACTTAACCATCCGAGACAAAGTTATAAATGATATTATCGGACAGACTGTGGAAACAAAAATATGCAGCAAATTCACTGAGAAACAGAAGGTCAAATGATTTGGTCATTTCGCGAGAATGCAGCCACAACAACAAACAACAAAGGCGATACACATGAAAAGATTGGATGTGACAGCCAGAGGTAGTCCTAGAATATGGATTGATGACATTAAAGCCCTTCTGCATCGCCAACTGCCATTGCTATCCTTCAAGCAATTTATCACAACCGGTTCCTGTCCACGACGCTTAACGGTAAAAAGCGGAAAGTGATGATGAAGAACTTGACGATGATGAAAATGATGATTACGATGATGATAATGATGATGATAATGATGATGATAATGATGCCGATGCAGTAAAGGGCCCCTTTCATGTCATTGATGCAGCATTCATTTTTAATGTGCGTTGTTTTCATCCTTTCCCACCTTTACTTCCCACTTCATTACCTGGTATCCATATTAGACTGGATGGATCTTGTAGCTGAGTTCAGTTATAAAAGAAAATCCACCTCGTTTTGGATCAACATCATGGCACACGGGTAGTAACCCATTAGTGCTCCGTTATTTTTCTTACTTATGCCTGAGTCCGAAGAATCTCAGCGCCGTACACGAACTCTGTTGTACCGGCGAGAATCCTGTAATACTTTTTGGATTGATTTTTAACTCCACATTTAGCCCGGGCAGCGCCGTTGGGTTACTCTTTTCAATTTCCAAATGCCAATGGATATTTTAGGTGCGCAACAATACACACGGGCGTCCGAGTATATAGTTGCACTGTTAGTGTTATGTCTTCTGTTACGAGTATATAGTTCAACTGTTAGTGTTAGGTTTTCTGTTACGAGTATATAGTTCCACAGTTAGTGTTAGGTTTTTTGTTACGAGTATATAGTTCCACTGTTAGTGTTATGTCTTCTATTACGAGTATTTAGTTCCACTGTTAGTGTTATGTCTTCTGTTACGAGTATATAGTTCCACTATTTGTGTTATGTCTTCTGTTACGAGTATATAGTTCCACTGTTTGTGTTATGTCTTCTGTTACGAGTATATAGTTCCACTGTTTGTGTTATGTCTTTTGTTACGAGTATATAGTTCCACAGTTAGTGTTATGTCTTCTGTTACGAGTATATAGTTCCACTGTTAGTGTTATGTCTTCTGTTACGAGTTTATAGTTCCACTGTTTGTGTTATGTCTTCTGTTACGAGTATATAGTTTCACAGTTAGTGTTATGTCTTCTGTTACGAGTATATAGTTCCACTGTTTGTGTTATGTTTTCTGTTACGAGTATATAGTTCCACTGTTTGTGTTATGTCTTCTGTTACGAGTATATAGTTCCACTGTTAGTGTTATGTCTTCTGTTACGAGTATATAGTTCCACTGTTAGTGTTATGTCTTCTGTTGCGAGTATATAGTTCCACTGTTAGTGTTATGTCTTCTGTTACGAGTATATAGTTCCACTGTTAGTGTTATGTCTTCTGTTACGAGTATATAGTTCCACTGTTAGTGTTATGTCTTCTATTACGAGTATTTAGTTCCACTGTTAGTGTTATGTCTTCTGTTACGAGTATATAGTTCCACTGTTTGTGTTATGTTTTCGGTTACGAGTATATAGTTCCACTGTTAGTGTTATGTCTTCTATTACGAGTATTTAGTTCCACTGTTAGTGTTATGTCTTCTGTTATGAGTATATAGTTCCACTGTTTGTGTTATGTTTTCTGTTACGAGTATATAGTTCCACTGTTAGTGTTATGTCTTCTGTTACTAGTATATAGTTCCACTGTTTGTGTTATGTTCCCGTGTGGGTTCAGCTGCTCCATTGAAAGGATGAGGGGGGGGGGGGGTGAATTGATCCACTGCTCCCTAACAAGCATGCCGTAAAAGGCGACAAATTAAGATATGCTAAAGGCAGCTGTGTTGGCCTTACAGGTTTAGACATTACAGCCTAAGCTGGAAAACACAACCGAGATTCCTATTCCGACGGTAGCAAACAAAAATATCAAGCTTCTTAAAGTCGTGTTCAAGAGACAATAATGACTTAAGTAATGCTTCATGGCTTTGAGTTTAGTGTGACTGTTTCACAATACAATCCCCACGTTTACCGGCGTCTGATTCCCCAGGTGGGCTTTTCGGGTAATTCGTTTTTGTGACTTTCAGACAATGGTACGAGAATCGCACAGTAGAAGAAATTGTGTTCTCGCCATTTAATATTCCCATAGTTATTAGTGGTTACTCTGCAGCTAACCTACAATGCGGATACGCACAATTTGTAGTTTAATCACTCTAGTTAAAAACCAACGAGAATAGTTTACCAAAAACTGGTTACCTTGAACAGACAGCTGTAAAATATCAACTATTCTTCTGGAAATTTTTCTCACATTTGAATATAGTTTCAAATATAAATTATGCTATCTCTAACAGAGAATATCTAGAGGTGGAAAAGAAAAGAGAATAACGGAAGTGATGAAATCATAACAACTCTCCTGCAGCCAAGGACAATCAACTCACCAGAAACGAGCGAAGTTCACACCGACTGAATTGAAACTGACCACAATCGATGGTATGGCATTGTGACTACAGTTAACTGTTAGGTCAGCCGAAGTAGACTTGAGGATTGAGAACGAGTTGTGGAAGCTCGACACTTAGTAGTTCATTCCGTGTTTGAGCTGCCAGTTGGATCGTGACTTTCTTCTTGTCCAGTATACCAGTATATATTCCATTAACGACGTGTTCTTTTGTGGTGATTATAAATTATCTGCAATTTTGTTAATTGTTTATTCATCTGACGATTGATCGGCTTTTGTAGGCACTGTCATTTTTCTTCATTTGTCGTCCGGCTTTTGCATGGCTGTAAACCCAGTGTCGTGGACATTGTCATTTGGGAGGGATAACAGTTCAATGATTATTCAAGCACCATTAACACAGACAGCCTCGGGAAGCTCAACAGGCTATACAGCCGACCAGAGAAGACTAAACACTGGAAGGGACAAGGCTAAAGACGAACCTGGGACCCCTGCGATGTACAAGTTATGGTGGTATCAAGGGAGATGCAGCTGATATGAAGGCAGCCGCCTTGCTCATTCAAGACCCAGGCTCTGAGGTAAGTGTTTAGTCTTTCGTATGCCCACATCACACTATTTTGTCCCTGGAATGATACGCCAAGAGAGACTAGACTTTTTATCTCCAACACATTTTCTGATGGAGATTTCTGAGAAAGAAAAATGGGGGAAGGGGGGAAGGGGTGTTGGAGTGAGAAATAGCTTTTCCGTATTATATAATAACCAGTTAAGTATTTTCAATTCTTTTTATTTCAGTTTTAACGCATGCTAATGGGCCGATAGTTAAATGCATTAGGAAAAAAAAATGTCTGATGGAAAAGATGAACATAAAATGTTGTGAATTTAAAACGAGTGAGGACATAAGAGAAGTGACAGGACAACCATTAGTATCAACAGTTATACAATAGAAGATGTTGCTATTTTGGATACATTCTGAGAAGAGACTTAACAGAAAAGCACAAAGCAGACGCCCCCCCCTCCCCCCCCTCCCCCCCCCCACTCACACACACAAGAAAACCTAAGATGAGAGAAGCCAAAGTTGCTAGACTGGATTTGATCCGTGATATGGATGAGACTGCACACGGTAGACGAGAATGGAGGAATAGACTACGAGCCCTGTATGACATATAAGGACACAACAGAAAAGGAATGAATGAACACATTAATGCGGTTTAAGGTTTTGAACAACGGTTCAGCATAATGGCACACGGGTAGTAACCCATAAGTGAGTGATCCGTTCTTCTTGTAACTCAAGTCTGGGTCTGAAGAAGCTCAACACATTGCACAGGCCCTGTAGCGCCGGCGAGGATCATGAAATACTTTGGGTAAATTTTAAACTGCAAAATATTGACCGGGCAGCGTCGTTAGGCTACTCTTTGCGATTTCCAACTGCTAAGTGATTCTTTGCCTGCGCAGCAATACACATGGACGTCCGATCTCACTACCCAGAGACCAGGGGGCATTACTAGAAGTTAAAGTCCACTTAAAAAGATCCCAGCCCTTACAGGGGATTGAACCCAGAACCTCTAGTCAATCATAACAATCGATTCTGTACAGATTCTAACCAAAACTTTGGGGCCGACATTTAGGCGCCTAGCGACTGTACCACTGCGACTGCGTCTCTTGTGTAAACTAAAAGGCCATTTCCACGCCTTATGCATAATGGGCACATAAGGCTAGACCTATATTCTATAAACATCGGCACGTGGTGGGTGATGTGATCAGCATCACGCCGGCCACCGTTGCTTCCTAGTACTATATCTAGTACTCACTGAAGGCTGGGTGGTACTGGGAGCCAAAGTCATTTTTTTAAATGTCATTAGGACCCGAACCCACGATCTTCCAATCCACAGGCGAGCGTCTAGCTGCAACACAACGGCGGCTCCTCCGTCTCTTGGGTTGTCTGGAATAAATAAAAAACTTGCATTTAAAATTTAAAAAAAATTTTGAAACAATTTACCACAGACAGCGATGTCCAGCACGATATGTAGAACTGTCACGATTAAATAGGCATACACTTTCATCATTTTTAATAACAAACTTTGTAGACACCGCAAATTCCCGAAAATAGTTAATGAAAGAGACACAGTATTCCCCTGTTTGTATCTTGTACGTTTGTTCTGTCTAGAAAGTTTTCCACACTGCCTGGCTTTTAAATGGGGATAACTGCGTTCCTGTGAGTGTAGGGTTGCCTGAATTAATGAGTCAGTGTTTCCAGTCTGTAGTTATTCTGCAGCAGTTGACATTTGGGCGTTCATTAGGCCAATGAGGCGAGGAACGCTAATCATTTACGGTGAAGAGATTGTATGTTCCGGTGTTATGTATTAGCTTGTTTACTACATATTTTTGGGTGCGTAGATTTTGTTTTGAACGTCAGATTACAAAATTCTTCACATTTTTATAAAGAGAAATTCGGGTAGATTTCAAAAACATTCCCACTCTAGCTTCCTACTTCGCTTTCAGTCAACACCCACATATGGCTAACTGACAGAGGCCAGCCCACTCAGGCAACGTTTCGTATGTTTTCCTGGGGAAAAGTTGGCAACAAGGGTGCAGATAAAATGAAAACATTTGGTGAGAAAGGGGGTGCTTAGCGAGAGTGGAACCTCAAGAGGCTTGTCTTGCATTAAGCCTTAGAGTAATAAAAGTAATGATAATAATAATTATTATTACTATAATAATAATAAATGTATCAGGCCCTTTGCATAGTGTCGCTCTTATCACTTCTTCTTTTTCTTCTTCTTCTTCTTCTTCTTCTTCTTCTTCTTCTTCTTCTTCTTCTTCTTCTTCTTCTTCTTCTTCTTCTTCTTCTTCTTCTTCTTTTCCTTCTTATTCTCTTCCACCTTGTACCTCATCGAATTATCGGGGAACGGGGGGGGGGGGGGGGGGGGCGGGGGTGGGGGGGAGGAGATGTAACATTCGTTGATGAGCTCTGTCAAGAGCACTATTAGACTGATGTTCATTTCTGTAAGGCTGTCCTTAATGCCATCATTCCATATTTTCCGAAGTCTTCCACTCGCTCTATACCCGTTGTAACGTTTTAGTGTGGCTCGCTGTGGCAGATAGTATCAGGGCATTCTTGTCAGGTATCCAAACCACTTCATTTGTTGTTCTTTGATGACTTGTAAGACTGGCTTTCTTCCTAGCATTTCTCTTTCGTGATTTCGTATTTTGTCTTTCCTTAAAAACTTCTGCAGCTCTTCTAAGGCATTTAATCTCTGTTGTCACAATTTTACGTTCATTGGAGGATCTAAGTGTCCACGTTTGGCACCGATAGCATAGAGTTGGCCAAAAATTAGTTCTGATAAGATTCACTTTAGTACTCCGGGGTATCTGCTTGTGTGTCAACAGGGAAGATAGTTGCCCCATTACTTGATTAGCTTTGGCACATCTTGAGCTAATTTCTCTGTCCAGTTTTCTGTCGGATGTGAAAATTTTTCCCAAATACTTAAAATTGCTCTGTTTGTTTTGAGGTATCTTTTTTTTTTTTTATTTCTTAAGTTGCTTTATGTCTTCCTGTCACCATTGTCTCTGTCTTCGTAGTGTTTATTTTCATAGTATATTTCTCCCTTTTTTTGTTGTTGCTCATTTGATTTAGGTGGTTCTGTAGGCATTCAGTACATTTTGCTATGAGTACCTCGTCGTCGGCGAATAGTAATTCTATAATATTTTCCTTATGATTAAAGTATATTCCCTTACAAATGGTATCCATTTATTCTATAACAAGAAGCTGCGACAGTACACAGCCCTGACGCACACCATAGTTCACTATAAAAGTTCTTGACAATCCTGCCTTCGATCTTATGCAGCATTTACTACATGTGAACATTCTTTTGCAAATATTATTGACTGCTTATCCTCCCCCCCCCCCCCCCCCCCCAAAAAAAAAAAAAAAAAATCCCACAACATATTCCTGCAGACTCTATGAATGGCTTGCTTTTTTCTTATCACTACATACCATAAAGAAACTCGGTATCTCGCCAGATCGCTTCATGCACCCTCGTGTGCAGGTGCCACTTACAGCCTATACCCACCTTTGTGCTGGTCGGCCCCTGCCCCACCTTTCTGGAAACGTGACTTCTGCTACTATTCTTTTCCATCCGCTTTGGCACTTGTTATGGCCAGAATATTTCAGTTTCCAAGACAAGACGTTGCTTACTAGCCATTCGTTCTTGATGTTCAGTTATTTTAGTACTTCACTATTTCTTATATCCTTGGTTCAGTGGAATTCTGAGAATTTTTCTATAGCATTTCAGTTTAAAAGCTCATAATTTATTTAAATATGACTGCAAGATGGTCCACGGCTGACATCTGTATGTTGCTACAGGGAAGATTCATACCCTTAACATTTTGGGTAATTTCCTTGCAAGTGCTCAACTTTATATTTTTAATTCTGTTTAATTTTTGTATTGCTATGGCCATCTTGAATCCTGTTGAACCGTCTCTATTATTATTTACGTAAGTATTTTGAGCCTACGGGAGTCGCCGTGGCGGAGCGGCTAGACGCTCGCGTGCGGATTGGAAGGTCGTGGGTTAGCTCCCTAGCAGAGCCGGACTGATTTCAAAAATGACCCTGACTCCTAGGTCGGCCCAGCCTTGAGTGGGTGCAGTCCGTGGAAGTAAAGGTGGTTGGTGTGATACTGACCACATTACCCACCAAGTCTCGTTTGGTCTTTAAAAATATAGGATAGGTCGAGCCCTATATGCCCTATACACCTAAAGGCACGGAAAAGGGACCTTTCTGTTTTTTTGTACTATATTGAGCCTGGGTATTCAAAATTTGCAACAGTTTTAATTTCTTCGTTATTTTTATTTTTTTATTTTTGGGTGCAGTCAGTTTTGACTGAACATAATTTATGTTTCTTCAACTATAGGAAATTGTTTTAATCTTCACTGTGTGTGTGTGTGTATGTATGTGTGTGTGTGTGTGTGTGTGTGTGTGTGTGTGTGTGTGTGTGTGTGTGTGTGTGTGTTTTACACATATTATTAACATGATTTACGCTGTTTGAAAGGTTGACAGTGTCGTCTGCATAGCGAAATTTCCAAAAAGAGTTGCCGCCAATTATGAAGCAGATCATAACTGTTACCAGTCTGCTCAATTTTCAGTTTTATCATTATGCTTTCCACGCGCGCGCACGAGCACACACTCACACATATACATACATATACACATAGATACACACACATACATACACACACATACATACATACACAGACATACATACACACATGCACACACATTATATACCACCGTTGTGTTGTTTCTCCAGCCACTTTGACGATAACCTGTTGTTCCTGATAGAAACGTTAAAAAAAGTGCTGGATAATAATAGTAAAATTAATAGCAATATGCTGAATGGTAAATAAACTTTACAAATTACAGTATTTGAAATGTAATAATATATATAAACTAAACACGTTTGGGTGAAGCTTATTGCTCTTAGCAATTGGGGAAGTGTCTTATCTTTAATGTTCCCACGCACCTGTTTGGGAGCGAGAGGGGTAAAAAAGGGTCACGTTAGTGCTTATCTTCTAGATTAAGACATCCAGTTTGAATTCATGTGCCTGGGGGAGTGTTCAGTGTACAGTCACGTGTGATTGCTGGAACTCAACAATTTAGAAAATGCATGTTGCAGGACAGTCTCAACCTACAGGTTACCTACTGGGTTCGCCCTTAAGAAGGACTGTTAGCACGCTGTGTTGTCTTCTTCTTCTTCTTCGCGTTCACCAGCTGTACATTCTGGCGGAAAGTTCTGGTTGCTCGTCCACTACTGAACTGCAGTACTGCTCCAGAACCTGAGTGTTGCGTGTGCATCAGTTTTACAGATCTCATTCTCTTCAATACAGACTGTTGGTTCCTTGCCTCTCCGGCAGATGCACTCCGACTTCAAAGGAAGCTCCCCAATTAGTCGACTCTTACGACATGCTTTTGGGGAGGCAGTGGGTCTATTCTTGTTTTCCCATACAATAGGGCCCCGGATCCCACACGGGGGGCACGCTGTGTTGTGATTTACAAATTCTTTTTTAGACTTATGTCCCCCCACCCCCCTTTTCTCATCACGTTTCTTTACTGACGAGAAACCATTAATTAGTCGCCTATTACGACATGCAATGGCAAACTACATAACGTAGAATGGTCTTGTGAAATAGAAAAAAAAGTCAAAAATACCAGGGTTGGTTCTGCGGCGCCCTGTAAAGGGGAGGTAACAAACTGAACTGTTAACGGACATTGAATCTGTCCTCACAACAGAGCCCGTGATTATGTTTGGTCATGTTATGAGGACACTGGACACTGTTGTGACCATTTACCAGGTCTCTGGAAAGAGAGGCACAGAAAGAAAACGCCAGCAGATTTTCCACAGCCTGTTGTCATGACATGGAGAGGTGTTAACACAAGAACTGATACATGCTGGCGTAGCGGCTAGAGGCTCGCGTGCGGATCGGGAGGTCGTGGGTTCGCTCCCTGGTAGACCCGGACTTTTTTTCAAAAATGACTTTGACTCCCAGGTCGACCCAGCCCTTGAGTGGGTACCGGGTGCAGTCCGGGAAAGTAAAGGCAGCCGGCGTGAATGCTGACCACGTCACCCATCTTGTGGCGATTGGTCTATAAAAATATAGGTCTAGCCCTATTTGCCTAAAGGCGTGTAAAAGGGACCTTTGCTTGTACTTTTACTTTGCCCTGAAATAGAGCAGTGAATGCCTTTTGAATTCAGCTCCTCCTGTGTCAAGAGACACATTGTCCCAGTGCCATCATCATCAGACACCAGATGGCGTAACATTGTTTCCTTTACATTATGCAATAACACAGGGGGAGCTGTGTGGTCTCGAGGCATGGAGTCCGCCTCGAGTGCTAGAGGTTCCGGTTCAATCCATTTTAAAGGTTGGGATTTTTTTCACGTGGACTAAGTAATTCCCCCTGGTCTCTAGGTAGTGAGATCGGACGCCCGTGTGCATTGTTGCGCACCGAAAAAATTAACGGGCAGTTGGAAATCGAAAAGAGTAGCCTTACGGCGCTGGCCGGGCAGAA